GATATAGGCAAGCCTTTAAATCAGTAAAAATCATGATCAGACCCAAAAGTTTTGTGCAGTAATTCTACACTTTTCTCTTAACTAGTCTGCATTGGATTGCACTCAAAATCTTACTTACTCAGTATTATACTCAGAACTCAATTATTCAGTTATGTTTGGCATAAAATAGTTCTAGACAAAACATACTTCCACATAAATTTTTAGAGATGGTTTGACCCATATAATGTATTAAAGCCAGCATAAATGTTTCTGAATAGTTATAGCTAAAACATAATAGAGGTTGAGTCTTGGTATTGTTATGTAAATATTCTAAACATTGCTTTTGGTACTTTTACTGACTGTGACATACCAGAGAATTTAAAACTTACAAATGTCTTCCACAAATTGTGTCTGAATGAACACCTCCATTTTAACCTGAAAATAACGCAGTGGTATAACTGATAATCTGTCAACACTTAGAAGGAAAATTAGTCTTTCTAAAACATCCTGACTTTGTAGATCATTTGTCCCTCACAACTTCAAAGGTATACCAAGGCAATATCAAGTGAAGTTAGGAAAAGTACTACAAGTTATTATTTTTAAAGGTCTAGGAAAGAGAGAGCCACACAGTTTGCCCAAAGACACAAAAAAAGCCTTGAAGAAAACTTACGAAATGAAGATGAATCCTCAAATCTTATCCCCTTTGTCAAAGATTATTCAAAGAAGTTGGTGAAGGAATTTAATAAAAGCAAGTGGAAATAATGTAGACAGCATGTAATGAAAGACAGTATTTCTTGCTCATTTTGGTGGTTCTGTTCAAGCTGAAGGTCCTGTTTGTTGTTTATGGGAGAAAGGACATATTACATAGCTTATTGCACATTTATGCAGCCAAGTAGACAGGTAGGAAGGACACACATCAAGAAGAATTCCTGTCTTTGTATTAATGCCTCTAAATACATACAAGAAGCATTTACAGTGCCATTTTTCTTTCTTGTCAATCTTTCAAGTAAGCCAGATGTTACAAGATGATTCTTGTAGAGACTCAAGCTCTCATTTAAGTACATCGGGGGGGGGGGGGGGGGGAAGAGGTGTAATGTTGTTACAGAAATCTGAGTATTACCTGCTTGGAACTGTTGTAGCTGAATCTTCATTGATATGTACCAGTTTTACAAAGTGTAACTTCATCTACTTGTTGCAAGTGTTATTTTTGTTTTTCCTTGGTAATAAAATTAAGTCACACTGTTAAAGCTGTACTACTGTCATAGATGTTTATGGGGACTACCAAAAAAATTATCATAAATTGTTTTATTGATTTTCTGTAAAAATTGAAGCAATAAGAAAACACAGATAACTTTACATGGCTGACAAAGATGACTATGTGATGTGTCAGGGGAGTTACTGCTAGTAATGACAGTTCTTAAGAAATTAGTTTTATCACACTTCAGCTGCCAGATAATACCAAAGGCTGAAATCTCAGACATATTTTTTTCTCTTCCAAAATATGAGTAGTTTCAAAAAGAATTGCCCAATCCAGAGTTTACACAATCCATATTTTTAACATGAAAGAGGAAAAGCAAACTCATCTGCTTTTTGTAGTACACGCAACCTTTCACATCACATTCAAGTTCTATCAAAGCATGTGAATAGAAAGAATACCCCAAATTAAAGCATACAATTTTTTATACAAACAAAAGCATTCAGTCTCTGCTTAAGGCTTAAGAATTCAAAATGTCTTCAGTTTACAGAAAACATCTATATAACAGTGACTATCATATGAAAACATTTGTGGTTTTGATCTTGCTAATATTTAAATTGTGAATTTTAGTGAAGATGATTACTAACAGCAGGTTTGCTAGCAAAATACCTATGGGTTGTTTCCAAAAAATAAAGACACAAACCCATCTGTTCAATGTGATCAGCCAAGCAGACTGTAATGTCTTGGCTTTCTATGCATTGCTTAAACAAAAAAAACAAAAAAAACCCAGGAAAAAAAAAAAAAAAAAGAAATTAAAAGGTCTGACAGCAGTGATTTTTTTTTTTTCCTCCTTCCTTTTTTAAATGCAAATATCTATTAATGGTATTTTTTGGGATACACTGCGGTCGAATTCAGAGAGTGCATTGTGAACAACAGGTAGTTTGACAATTTAGTGGAAAATAAACAGGCATTTATGTGATTATTTTCAGAGGAAATTAAATGTTTCTCAATCCATACCTAGAATACCATGTTTATAACTTAAAGCAAAATAACTTTTTTTTAAAAAAGGTGCCAAATTTAACTAGCTTCCATGACTTACACACCATAGAAAAATCGAAACAGGAAGGATGCGACTTCAAGACTTCATAGAGAAAAAAGCTGAGATAGGAGCTAAATATTGGCCTACCAAGAAGGAGGTTTAAAATAAACTTTTATAAATGTGTTCTATGTTCTTTTTTACAGGAGATTATAAAAAAAAAAAAAGAAAAGGTATATATGGACCTGAAGACATTGACATAAATTTCAAAGAAAAATGGCTGAGCAATGACATCCACAGGCCCTGCTAAATGCAAACATTCCACTTACTAAACCAATCTCATTCACAGCTTTAATGAAACTTTTATGAAGTTACAATACTTCTGCCAGAAGCAAATTTGGCCATCACTCTCAATGGTAACCAAAATCGGAAGACAATGTATTAAGATGATGCATCAAAACTGACCTTCACACACATGAGAACAGGATACAAATCAATATTATTTTTAAGTCCTTAAGTTCATCATTTTTTCTGATCTCAGTAAAAAAAGAATCCATTTGGAAAATAATAACTGGAAAATGTACCCCGAATAACCTAATTATGTTCATATAATCAAGACAAACTCTAAGTCTAATTAATATTAGACTTCTCCTGAAATAGTATGCCAACATCTAGAATTATACAGAAAATAGAAAGTATGTTTTATACACTTAATTTTAAGCAATTACATGGAGTCAATGATTTTTATGGAGAAGTAGGATCCACTTTGAGAAACAAATCCTCGCTTCTTTCTTCTGACAGAATATAAAAGCCCCTCTCCTTACCTCTGCAGCTCAAATTCTAGAGGCTAAACACAAAGAGAAGGATCCTTTCTCATGCAGATCTTTAAGGCTCTGTTCCTTAAGGGGTATTTAAACACAGGTGTTTTGAATAAGGAAACCAGAAATCACCTTTTTAACATTTAAAGTAACCTCATCTGTGTAACAGATGATTCTCCACCACTGGACATTTTTACCGAATGTATGTTTGGTGAACTGTGGTTTCCTCACCACGCAATGTGCTGACGTATCGTAAGCCAAGGCCAGCCAAATTCACATTTTTAGCAAGATCACCCTGTTTTGGAGTATCAGATCCCAGATACATACTTTGGATGAGAAAAGGGGAAGAGGGAGAAAGCTTTGGAACATAAAACAGAAATATGCTTGTCTTTTTAATGTGGAACATAAAACAGCAATATGCTTGTCTTTTTAAGTCTCACAAGTCTCAAAAATTGTTGAGAAAAGGCCAAAACGCAAGAAGACGCTGCAGCTACAGGTTATTCCTTCGAGTCTTGCAGCTTTAGGGAGCTGGGTTTCCTCTGTGGGGCATGAAATCTGCACTTGACTTTATAACAGCATAGAAGAAACAACACATCACAAATGCTTTCCGAAATGAACAGAAATACCACCTGCTTTGTGATAACATGAACACATGCAACAGCCTTACTGGCCTTGTTTCCTCACAACGTCACTTCAAGCGGTAAAAAGAATCTCTCAATTGGAGCATATTACTGGGTCTGTTCTTTAAAAGGATCTGAAAATTCAGCCCACTCTGCTACAGCTTTTTATAGGAGTTACCACCAATTGGAACAATCAACTTACCTTTTGCAACAACCAATCATTTTAACATTCACTATGCAAGCTATTGCGTGCTTGCTGTAAGCTGTTGCAAAAAACCCCAGACTCTAGTTTACAGACACACCATCTTCCCTAGCTGACTTCCCAAGTGACCGTATCAACAAAGTTAAAAAGGTTTATTTAATTAGCCGTCAGATTCCTATGGGTGGAGGTGGAGGCAACATCTGTCTTTGGTGCCCGTGCCAACATATTTATACAGCTTTTTTGTTGTGCCAGGAGCCTTTGAAGCATGTAATGTGGAGTGCACCAGGATCAGCTTAAGTTTGAAATGTTGTTTGCATTCAACAGCTGTGTTAAGATTTTTACATCTTACCCACTGCTTTATATTTCATCCACTGCTATGGTTACCATGCAAAAATGTACTGATGATCATAATTTATAGGAGTAGAAAGCACACTACAGTATATGTAGGTGAACAGAAATTAAATTGGCTATATGGGCTATAAAAACAACAACAAAAAAATCTATCTTAGTCTACCAAGCTAACTTTTATAGGAAAAGTTTTCATTTAAAAATGTATCAACTTTTTTTTTTTTTTTTTTTTAAAAAAAAGAGAAGTTGTTTACACCTACCACTTAACCTAAGTTAGGAGAGAATTAAAAACCAGCCTGTTAGAAAAAGCAATTGGAAATGGCGGTATTTTCTAGAGTGGCATTGTTAGACATCAAAATGCCACAGAAGAAATATATGAAATACTGATTCTGAGTATTTATATTTGAAAGCTGTAGCCAACCTTTATGTGACTTTCTCTTTCCTGCAGCACAGATGAGAAAAAAGAGAAAAATGAAAAGTACTTTCCCCTCCTTGAACCACATTCTAACCCTGAATGTACGCATCATTCCATTGACTTCAAAGCTCTCACAGCAATCAAATCCACCTGCGCCAGCATCAGATCAGCTGAAGCAAAATTTGGTTGAGAAGTCACTATCACTATACTGTTCATTTTTTGGTAAACATGGAGATTTGCTCTGTGTTTCCAGTAGAACCAGGATTTCAGTTAACATATTTTTTAGCATTTCAACTACTTTCAGCAGTCAGGGGTAAGATGTTCATTAAT